ACAGAACAGACGCCCATCAGTTTATCTGCCCACGAGAGAGTTCCCCTCCGAACAAAGTGAGTGTTAAAACCTGATGTTTCTAAACTTCATACTGGTCTGATATTAAAAAAAAAAAATCACATATAATCTTCTTTATTTGAAACTTGAACAGTTTAAGTGGTTTGAGACTTAAAATGGTTTGAGACTTAAAATGGTTGGAGACTTGTCTTTAAAATGACCCTTTTTTTCTCTCTCTCTTTTTGTGTTTTTTTTTTTTTTTTTAGTCATAGTAACAGAAAAGACAAATATCCTCTTGCGTTATTTACACCAGCAGTGGGACAAAAAGGTACCTTGTGTGGCTTTAATATTCGTGGCTTGGCTTGGCTGGGGCTTGATTGGGCTGAAGAGTCATCAAAATATTGAGAATTAGTTAAAATAAAGTGGGAGCAGCTCAGCAAAGAGGCGGGGAGGAGGTTCTGGCCCTGCCCAGAAAAACCTGGTTTGTTTTGGAATGTAAAGGACATCAAAAACCCTCAGGTAACTCCAGGTTCAGCCTGGAATTTGGGAATCCCCAGTTCCCTCGTGGAACCATCACCCTGGGGTAACCAGGGGGGCAGGGCAGAGGGTGAGGAAGACGTGGAGGGAGGGAAAATCAGAGGGAATGGGGAGGCTGAGAGGGAAATATCTGTGTGTCACGAAGGTTTGGGAGGTTTGGGAAGTTCAGGGATTCGGGGGGTTTGGTATATTCAGAGAGTAACTTGGAGGGGGGGTGTCCCCGTGGCCGGGAGTCTCACGGGGGGTCCCTCTGTCCCCCCAGAATGCGGCGAAGAAGCGAGACCAGGAGCAGGTGGAGATCGAGGGGGAGAACTCGGCGCCTCCGCGGAAGATCGCGCGGACGGACAGCCAGGACATGAACGAGGACACTTAAAAACCCCGGGCTCTCCCTCCACTCCTTCGGCGCTTCCCGCTCTGTCTCCAAGTGTGTAAATTTGGCCCCTCTCCCCATCCACCACCACCTCTTTTTTCCTCCCCACCCCGTCCCCTCCCCATGGCGCAGCCCAAACCACTTCTGACTTCACGGGAGCCAATGTATTTATTTTATTTTTTTTCTCCCCCCGCCACCTCCTCCAGTCGTTGGTTTTTTTTTTTGTTCTTTTTTTTTTTTTTTTTTTTTAAATTTATGCCCTGCGAGCTCACGGAGCAGTGGCAGAACCAGGCGCTCCACGCCAGTAGAACCTCAGTACCTCCCTCCCCAAAAAATCCCCGCTGCCACTGTGGGGTGGAGCGGCCGGCCCTGTTCCCGGTGACCCCCCGGGGCAGGGCAGTCCCGTCACCACTGACGTGTCCCAGTGATTCACTCCCCGGCTGTTCCCTGACCAGCCATAAGTGTGGGGCCGAGTTGGTTTTTCTCCTCCCTCAAATATCCCAGTCACGGATGCCGACGAGGGTGGCGTGGATGGCAGCAAATTCCTGGGCAGCTCCATCCCGGCTGCGTTTTTGGGTCTGGCCCCCTGAGCCTTCTCCCTCCAGCCCGTGGTGCTGTGCTGGAGGGTTTGCAGTGAAAGGTGTGTTCGCTTTTGTTGCTCTCCGATCCTGACCTTCTCCCGGGGCTGGAATGGCCTGATCCCTGTGACTTCTCCGCTGGAATAAAAGGATCCTCCCGTCCCGCTCCCAGCCCCTGGCCGGCCGCGTGTCCCAGCAGCAGCTGATGGGATGGAGGTGGGGTTGGCACCGCTGGATCTGCTCCGGGAGCACCTCGGCACCTCCGTCTGCTTCTCTGCCTCGCCCCTTGGCTCTGGATGGCAACGCAGCGGCTTCTCCTGCACGTCTGGAATGGGATGCAGGACTTGGAGCGGATCAAAACGTGAGCTTCCATGGTCTGTGCTGACGACCAATCCCTTTGGACTGTGACAGTTCAGTGCCTGTTGCCTGTAACCCTCCCCTGGCCCCGACAGGAGCAGAAACGGAGACCTGCCAGTCATCCAGGTGGATCCAGAGGTCCAGGACTCGTGGAAAGGAGCATCGTCACCGGGAGGGGACAGGAAAGGAGTAGCTTAGTTCATGATGTCTTGTCTGCTTTGCCCCGAGGAGCTGATTTCCCACTGTGGTAGCTGAAATTGTGGCGTTCTTAGCTGTGTTTTCCCTCGTCGACAAACCCCCCCACACCGAGGAGCCACGCGGGTGTTTTCCCAGGGATCCTGGAGAGCCTCACTCTGAGGGGCCGTGCTGGGCTCCGGCTTTGAGGGTTTCTGCTGGCCCTGTCTCCCCTCCCCACAACGCCCCTGGCCCCCCCAGGGGTGCCCCCCATCCACTCTGGGGGCGGAGGGGCGCTGCCCCTGGCAGCGTGGTGGAAGCAGAACCTTAGGAAGAGCAGGACGTGGCTCCCTCCCGCTGGAATTCTGAGTGTCCCTTTAGGCACCGAGTCTGTGAATGAATTGAACACCGAGTAGTTTAGACCTTTGCACCTGAAGAACACGTCCCCTTTCTGCCGTGGAGCAGAACACGTCCCCTTCCTGCTCCTGGAGGGGGCAGATCCCGGGGGCGATTCCCGGCGTCTCTGCGGGGTTGGGGGCACGGGATGAGCGTTCCTGCAGGAATCTCCACCCTGCAACCGCGCTGCCAGACACGGATCTGCCAGCCAGGAGCCCTGGGAGGAGCTGCCAGGCCCGAGGGAGGGCAGGAAGGTGCCCTGGTGGTGCAGTGCGAGCAGGGCCGGGGCTGTTCTGTGCTGTATCCCCACGCCCGCCCGCCTACCATTAAAGCACTGGCAGTTCCCTCCTGCTGTGAACCCCCTTCTGTTCCCTCTGTGTCCTTGAGAAGCGGCCTGGGAGCCCTGGAAATGTTTGCAGGGGGTTTTAGCAGGTGAAAGTTGCCTTTTCCGAAGTGGTCTGGGAGTGGTGGGGAAACGGGGGCCAAATGAATTGAGGGCCACGGTGGTTTGGGGTGTTGGTGCATGAGCAGGAGGGATTTGGGATCCCTGCAGCCTGTCCTCCTCCCAGCCATGGATTTGGGATCCCTGCAGCCTGTCCTCACCCCACCCATGAATTTGTGGTTCTCATCCCATCCATGTCCTCATCCCAGCCATGGATTTGTGATTCCCAGTTTGTCCTCCTCCCGTCCATGATTTGGGATCCCTGCAGCCTGTCCTCATCCATCCTCTCTGCAGCCAAAATTCGCTCCCTTCCTCCAACTCCTTCCAGGTTTTTCCCGACCCCAGAGCGCTGCCCTCGCCCCCCCCTGCACTTTGATCCTGTACCCCCAGGGTGAGTGTCTGGGCTTGGGATGTTCCACGGAAGATCTTTGCCTAACTGTGACTTCCTGGTGCCTTAGTGCATTGAAACAACAACAACAACAACAACAACAAAACCCTTGAAACCACCAAAACCTGGGATTTTGCCCACCTTGTTTGTACAAATTCCCGGCTCCTCCGACTTCTCCTCCTGTTCCCGGGATCTCGTGACCCCTCCGGGGATTTTCTATGTCTGCACAGTGGGATTTTTATTGTTTCTGTTACCGATTGTTTACTAAAATCTGGCTTTTTTAATGAAAACTCGAGCTACTTGTCCGAGATGGGAATTTTTGGGGTGTTTTGGTTGAGTTGTGCGTCTTCTCTCAGAACTCAGCGTGTGGAGGGACGATGAACCCACCCAGGAGCAGCTCCTCCCGCCCCCTGGGAGCGATTGGATGTGGTTTTGGGTGCGTTTGGAACATTAAAAAAGTTGGGAAATGCCTTTTCCTGCCACCAGAATCCTGGGTGACTCCTTGACTCAGTTCTTGATCCCGTTTTGTCACTGCTGGTTCTCGGGGTGGAGGGGGAGGAACAGCAACAAAAAGGCCCTCTGGGAGAGTCACTCACTGTTCCCTGGGAGGCAGATTTTGAAAGGTTGGTCTGATTTCCCCCTTCCCCTCCTGGATAATTAGGACAGGTTTGACTTCAAAGCTTCATTTTTTGGGGAGTTTGACACTGGCCCTAAGGCAAAGACTAAAGAATCTTGGAATTTTTTCCGACCCTGCAGCTCTGTCCCCACTTACATTTCCAGCCTTTTTATTTCTTTTCTTTTTTTTTTTTTTTTTTTTTTTTTTTTTTTTTTTTTTTTTTTTTTTTTTTTTTTTTTTTTTTTTTTTTTTTTTTTTTTTTTTTTTTTTTTTTTTTTTTTTTTTTTTTTTTACTAATAAAAATTAATTTATTTTCCTGGATTAAGGACATCCTGGCAACCAAGGGGTTGTGTGACAGAGTGTCCAGAGGGATTCCAGCTGGTCCCTCCCAGTTTTTGTCCTATATATGGTATTTTTTGGATGCATAAAAATGGGGAAATCCTTTTCCTTAAGGAAGAGAGGGTTGGGTCTATTTGGGAGCAGTAATTTCGGGAGCAGCTGCCGGGAGAGGATGTTGGATCGTGGCTCTGGTGGAGCCCATCAGGGAAGATGTTGGAATATTGGAAAGACCAAACCTGGGCTCAGGGAGGAACGTTTTGGAGCCTCTCGGGTTCTCCGAGATCCAGTTTTAAAGGCAAAACTGTGACCCTGTGTCAGAGCAGGGATGTTTCCATGTGGGAGGGGGCTGCCTGAGGTTTTCCACAGGTTTTCCACAGGTTTTCCACCTGCTGCCATTCTCCATCCCCTGGGGATGGGAGCCCACGCTGCCCCTGCTCTCTGCAGCCCCTCAGGGATGTGGATCCACCTGGGAGCTGCCCCGTGCACAAAGGGGGATTTGTGCTCTTGGTCCTTTCCATTTCCTCGTTTTCCTCACTGAAGGAAACTTTATTTGACCCCTTCCACCCCCTCCCCCCATCCCTGAGCAGCTCATCCAGGGATTCTGCCCAGGGATGGTGGGTTTGGAGGTCTGGGATGGTCTGAGGGGGCAAAGGAGGGTGCAGGAGGGTGGAAAGGGGCTGGGGGGGAGCAGGAGGAGCCGCTTCCGATGGATCTGGGGTGACAAATCCCCCTGGAATGGGCTGAGCTGAGTC